GTGTGTGTGTGTGTGTGTGTGTGTGTGTGTGTGTGTGTACTGCTGAGGTTTATTTCACTGATTTGTTTGTCTTGTTGAACGACTTCTCTGCCTGTCGTTAAAGCAGCCATGCAGGGAGAAACACAGTCTGCCTGTCACCGTGTCCTCTGAGTTCATCTTCTCCACCAGCTCCTCTCACGTCTCCTTCTGTCTCACTGATTCCTTCTCATCTGCAGACGCCACCTCTACATTTAACTCAAAGTGTCTAATTGGTGTTCTCATGCAAAGCAACCTGCTCAAGTGGAACAGTAATGAATCTCCAAGCAACATGCGAGCGAAGGGGCTGAGAGAGCAAAAAAAGAAGTATTATTCATGYACCAGAAGAAAGGAGCAAAGAGATTTCTTTGGATAACAGCCGCGTTGGCATAAATCTTTATACATGAGGTATTTTTTAAAGGTTTACTGCACAGTTTATACGATGTTAATATGTTAACTTGGAGGGGGGATGCCTTAACCACACCTCAAATCACCTAATAGGGGTTTTTATAGTCGGCTCACCCTTCCAGGAAAGTTTGTACCATAAAGAAGAGAGAATAAAAACTTCTGCAGATGAAACTTTTACAAATATTACAATATTAAAGTGAATATTTGTGGCATTCTGTGCACTSTCACCTTCCTGAGGCCTGATTGACACCAGCTGGGGCAGATTACTCCTGATCAGCTTCTGGGTATATAAGGCAGCACTGAAGATCAGTTTCTCTCTGGAGCATCATGTACCTTATGGTATAAACTCCTGGCTGCTCTTAGACTTTATTTTCTGGAGTATTGTTGAAACCTGTGTTTTTTCCTCTGTGCTCAATGAAGCTGTTACTCATTCCCCTGTTTAAAGAAGACATATGACTTTTAATTTTTTTTCACAATTCTTCCATTGGGGTCTTTATAAAGTGGAACTGCAATGCTTTGGTCTAAATTCCTCCTTATTGTAACTCCACAAGCCCCGCCCATTTTCTGGGGCGTGTCTCAGATCAACTCCTTTTGAGGATGTCTTTCTCCAGTTTTCTGACTGGTTCATTCTGAAAAACTGAACGGGTTGAAAAATATGACCCAAACAGAATATAAAGATATTTACGTAGCACCAAGCACACAACAAAACATATTTAATCGCTAAAGTGATATTTTTTTACAAAATTTCCCCTTTTAAATTAACTGAAAAATTAACTTTTTAAGTGTTTTTCTTGTTGCAAACTGTGAAATCAGACATTAAAGCATTATCCTGAACTTTATCAATTTCATAGTGTAGCCTAAAGTTTACTCCAGTTGTTTTCCAGACATGAAATTCTAAAATGCGGGTTCTCACTGGATGTAAACAAAGGCTTATTTTCAAACTTCATGAATCCAACTGAAAACATGCAGGTCATTAAGAAATGTGAATGTCAAAATTTAAATATCCCTGCTTTAGTTTTTACAAATGAACATCAGGATAATAAAAAAGACACTGATGGTTCTGCTATTTATTTTCACCTGCAGGTAAATTTGTTTTTTTAATAAGACTCGTGTCATTTTTGTGCTGCAGCTGCACAAACAAGGTTATTTCTCCAGTGACTGGACTGATTCTACAGAAAACATGCTCCGACTTGTTTAGGTGGGATAAGAAAACGCAGAAAGATCCGGTTTTTAACGAAGCATTTTGAGGATTTTATTAGAATCCCATCAGTGCTTTGGGGTTAGGAGAGAAATACTGATTCTTTCTTGTCATCAGCAGCTGGATTAACACTTCTTCATTTTTACTGCTAAAATCAGAATTTGTTCATTATGAGGATGTCTGTGTGGCGGAGCCCCTTTGATGATTTTTATGTTTTATTTCTCCTCATCTGCCTGAATCACAATCCACCTGTCATACTGAAGCTGGTGTGTGTGTGTGCGTGTGTGTGCGTGTGTGCGTGTGTGCTGCTGTGAGGTTTTTAAAAGCTTCAKTGTTGAAAGCATTAAAAGATCAGGCATGAGAGGTTCCCTGCAGGCAGCATGGAGGAGGAAGCATCCACCCGGAGACACAAAGTGAACTGGATTTAACAGATTCTCTGTGAGCTGCACCTGATCACCTCCTGAAAGTAAAACTTTTCATGTCTCGGTGCTTCTTGTGTTGTCTTTCAGTTTTAAAAAGGAAACTAATCGCTCCAGAATTCTCCAACTTTAGAAGAGCAAGAAGAAGAAGTTATGGCCTCTTAGTAAAGGAAGATGTTTTAGACAACAAACATGTCAGATGTGCAGCTTCATTAGCTTGAAGGTAACGAGATGTGAACTTATCAGCTAARAGCTAAGGCTTTGAGATGATGAGGATTATCTAGATGACAGATGGAATAAACTGAAGGTGGAAGTTGGTGAATTAAGTTAATCAATTTAGAGCTGCTAGCTTTTTGTTTTTAGTCCTTACACAATAAATAAAAAAACTTTTTCTGGCTTCAGTTGTCAAATGCAAAAAGCCACGTTTGTGTGCAAACAACCGAGACAAAATCCACTTCCTGTTCAGTGACAATAAAACAATAAATGGTTTTATTTGTCTGGTGTTTTTGTACTATAAACCACTGTTGTTTTTTTTTGTTTAGTTAGTTTTTTTGTTTGTTTTTCCTTAACTTGGAGGCTACAGCAAGCTCCACTTACAAACTGCTGCACAATATCAGAGCAGACTGATGCTGTGTCTCTGTATGACCAGTAAAATGGTCCAAATGCTTTTAATGTGCCTGACTTTACACAGTTTGGCTCAAGTTTCTATAATATACATTTATTTGTGTTCAGTGAAGTTTTGTGCCACAGGTTTTTGTTTCCCTGAGTTTTCCTGCTGCAGGTCATTACACACCTGCTCCTCATTTGCTCATCAGCCCAGCTGCCATCACTCTGCAATCACAGCTCCCACTCGTTTATATACATGTGGAGCATTTCGTGTGCAACGATAAATAATCCATTATATCATTAAATAAATAATGAAATCTATAATTAATTAATTAAATGTGTAATTAAATTAAGACCTGCAGGTTTGTTGCTCCCTGTTATGCTCAGAACATTTCACCGGGTTCATTTTCACTACCAGCACTTTGGTTCGGTTTGTTTTGTTTCAGTTCATAGTCTGATCCCGAAGTTATTTAACCTAAAGCTTTATATTTAATGTTGATTTTAAAACTGATAAAGTGTGTAAAACAAAGCTTTATAATCATTAAAATGAGTCTAATCGCTTCATAAATCAATGTTAAACCATAAAACTATCATTTCAGAGACTGATTATCATTGTTGACTGTAGTTTTTAAAGTTGATCAAATTCTTTCATGTTTGGAAATAAAATAAAATGAAACACTTTAAGAAAAAGACATCATTTAATACAGATTTATACTCTGCTCTCCAGGAAAAAGAAATAAAAAATAAAAAGATTAAATATCCATGGGTATTAKTGAAATCTAAAAAACAACATAAAACCATTAAAACCTACAAGAAATCCAGCTACATGCTGCCAACCTGACCCCCCCCCACCGCTTTTTCTCTTTATAAACTGAATATTAACACCTTCATTAATTAAAAATCTTAATATAACAAAGTGACAGGAAACTGCTGCAAAGACAGGAATCAGACTTTACGTGCTGACTGTTCTGTGAAACGTGTCGCCGTCTTTTAAAGTCCACTGTTGCCTGTTTGTATCAACACATCCACGATTTACAGGAACGCAACAGACACACAAACACTGAACGTTTCGCCTCACGTTTGTTGTGGAGCCACTTCTGCCCAGAGTTCAGTCTGAGTGGCTCCTGAGTGCACTGAAAGCTCCGGGGGCCGTCGGGACGCTCCTGTCTCCACCCCCCATCACTAAAACGCCTGCAGCACATTAAGTCATCAGGCCTCCTCTCAGATAAAATACTCCTTGGGGTTTTCACAGGACAGGTTCTGAGAGTCCGTCTGGTTGTTGAAGGGAAACTCTGGACTGTCMTCCCGTTGGACCCGTTTCCCCTCCTGGTTCTGATACGTGTCTTTCCTTCGGTAGAGGTACCGGGCGGCGATGGCCAGAACCGTCACCGTCACAAAGATGACCACGGCTATGACACCTGAAACACAGAACGCAACCCAGAYGTGAGAAGTGGGATTGGTTGAAATAAAAGCAAACAGAAGTGTTCCTGTTTGTATCGCCCACTGCTGAAGCTGGAACGATGTTTTTGCTTTTGTTTGGACTTCAAGAAAAATCTCTCGCAAACTATGAGGGTTCCCAAACTTTTCCAGGTCATAACCCCCCACAAACAATTATACATAATATGTAAAACATCAACTTTTGGAAAGATTTTTCTCCTTTTTATTCAATAATTATTACATTTGTTTGGCATAAGAATTTTTTTTATCTAACATGTTTTAAAGACTGTTTTATATTCCAGACGAAAAACGAATTGTTGAATAACGTTTCAGTATATTATAACTTATATTTAATAATAATAMCTGAAAAACAGATTCAATTTTATGATAATTTAAAAAAAATAGATTTTTTTTTTAATTTTCGCTTTTTTCCCTAATTTTCCCTTTGTTTTCTGAGGCCCCCTGGTGGCCAACTCAGGGAAACATGATGAACTAGAGGACAAATTTTAATAAAACTCTTAGAAAATAGGTTTTGGACATAAATGTACAACAGATTTATTTTAGAGGATAGCTGCTGCAGYTAGTCAACATTTTACTTGGACAAAAATAGCTAAAACTCAGTCGGATTCACGGAAAAACTGAGCTAAAGTTTCATGTGATAGTAGCTGAGAGACATCTGATGCAGCCTAAAACGTCAAATTGTTTCAATAAAAATGTATTCAGAGCACTTTTGGGCAAACTGAAGTAACTTTTAGATGGAATTTAAAATCAATTTAAAGTACATTACAATTTAAAGTGATTTTTTATAATAATAGCAAAAAGATTYTCCATCAGCAAATTTCTGTATCATTTAAAGTAGATCTGCTCCCATTTGAGCTCTAAAAGGTTCAATGGTCTTTAATGACTTTTTTCTTTTTTTTTTTTTTTGTCTGAGTTCTGCCTATATTTATATTTTTCAGTCTCCACTTCCAATCAATCTGAGCTGGCACAGCTTCAAAGTTTAAATTAGTTTTAAATGGACGCCAGCCTCTCATCACTTTCCTCTCATTTTAAAGCACATCTGATTCTTCCTTTAAACCTTTTTTTGTTACTTTTTTAAACAAACATATGAAACATTTATACTTGACTGGACAGTAAAGTGCTTGTCTGTGATGAGAGACCACCAGGAGATAAAACAGGTTTCAGGATCAGGATGATCAAAGTCAGGAAGAGTTGGGTACCTCCAATCAGAGCCGAGTCGGTCCTGATGGCATTGACTAAAGGTTGACCAGAACCCACAGAATCAGACTGGTCTGAAGCAGAGAGGGGAAAAAAGGCAAGAAGAAATAAGAAAAATCAAAATGAAAAAGGCAAAAAGAGAAACTACACAGCTTTAAAAGTGAAACATTTAGAAAAAGATTCAGCTCAGAGCAACTTTAAAGTAAAGGTTTCCAGAAGAAGAAAATCAGAGGACCGTATTTAAAACAGTTTGCCTGGTGAAGCAGTGTCTGACCTGAAACACGGTGTGTGTTCTCAGCTGCGTGGGGATTGGCTGCAGCCAGAGAGCCACAGCTGGACTGAACCAAAGGTCCGGTGACCATGACGGGGCTGGTGTCYGGGTGCAGCAGAGCCGCTTTCAGAGGGCTGATGGAGTTGAAGCGAACCACCGACAGACAGCCGGTGAAACCGAGGGACGCCAGCCGGGCCAGGTGAGGGTCCAGGTCTTCAGATTCTGCTGAGGAGAGAAGAAAAGGACCAGGAGACATGTGGTTTGCACTTCTTAAAGATTTAGTTGCATTTTAATTCATTAAGTTCATCAGAAATCTTTCTTTTCTTATCAGGATGTAAAAGTAAATTCAGTGGAAGCAGGGGCGGAGCCAGAGGGGTGGCAAGTGCCTCCTCTGGTACCTGATTGGCCACCCCCAAATAACTGACAAGTGTGGCGTTGTTGGATTTTGTACTTTTATTTAGATTTTGTTAGATATTATTCTTAGATATATCCTCTCCTTGGGCTGCTACCTTATCGTGGTGGAGGGGTTTGAGTGTCTCAATGATCCTAGGAGCTATGCTGTCTGGGGCTTTATGCCCCTGGTAGGGTCACCCATGGCAGACAGGTCCTAGGTGAGGAACCAGACAAAGCGCAGCCCGAAGACCCCTTATGGATACAAACATTGGATCTGGCGTTCCCTCGCCCGGACGCGGGTCACCAGGGCCTCCCTTTGGAGCCAAGCCTGGAGG